GGGGGGGGGGGGGGGGGGGGGGGGGGGGGGGGGGGGGGGGGGGGGGTCCATATATGAGTCCAGGCAGAGCAGAGGTTGAACACCGAGGGAGTTAAACTCAACTCACAGTCATGGAAGTTGAGGAAAAGTGAGAAAGTTGGTGAGAAAAAAAGTTTGAAATCATGGAATAAAATTCTAAATATTTTGTTGATTTGAGTTGATTTAAAATAATTAGTAGTTGATATGAGTTTAAGGTTTAATATTTTCTACAGTTGAGGCCACACATCTGTCAGTGCCCCTCATGTTTGATGCACAGACACAGAGAAGCCGGGACAGGAATCGAGAACCGGATCGACTTGCTCTCAACCGTCCGATGCCTTGGAATCATTGGTCGGTTAGTTTAACTGATTCCATTAGCTTATAATTAATATAAACCAGTTCTACACGGACGACTATTTATAATTGATATATTAGATGTTAATATATTGGGGCGGGGGGGCAGGTCATGAGCAGATAGATGGGGCATTTGTGTGAACTAAAATAATAGTCATGGATAAATGTTAAAATTCTATCCGTTTCTAAGCCATCTATTGGGGAAATGTGGGCATTGCAGGGAAAAAGCAGAGGTAAAATTATCATAAAAATTCTAAATACATAAATTAATTAAATATAAACATAATTTGGACAAGTTTGGAGGGTCAGATTAAACCAATGTTTTGTATGCCTGTGGTAGAGTTAATTTTGAGTTTACTGTTGACGACGGCTCATTATCTCAGTGATGAATACAGTAATGAAACAAAGATTTGAAGGCCACCTCTGTGTGGCAGCGGACGGAGTGAGCGGACTGCAAAGAGAGACGGAGAAAGGGAGAAAATGATTGAGAACAAATCGGTGCGACTGCCCTAATTAGACCACAAAGTTGCCTTCAAGTCTCCCAGAAAATGTCAACAAAGACGTGAGGAATCAGAAGGACTGTGACCAAACCACCGGGACAAAGACATCACCCACACCAACCCCAGTCA